ATTTTTTTTTAAATATAATAAAATTATATATTACGTGAATTCAAGTGCTGAAATCAGAAGACTTTTGGGGCAATTTGCCCAGATTTGCTATTAATTTCTTTTTGACATTTTGTGTCCTCCACAATAAAGTGGAGGCTCATTTTTCAAATTGTTGATACCAAATATTAGATCTCTGCATTGTATTTAAAGAAATTATATACTGAAGAATCTGCGTGAATGTATGCATGTTTCTTGCATTGTAAAAACACAACGGTATCAAATTTTGAATAATGTAGTACTCCACTCGAATATGGGCATCTGGAAGTCCAAATTTGGAATATGTTTTATTATTTATTTCATACATTGTAAAACTTTTGCGAATTTTTGTTTCAAAACGAGCAATGGCAACACTACAAAAAACGCATTTTTAGCTCCAGCGCGCGAAACTGTGTATCGGAAATTATAAACATATTTTGTGATATTGCTATTGAATTGAATTTTATGGTTTAAGTACAAAAAACATGATATTTAATAAATAAAGGTAACACACAAAATATTAAAAAAACGCCCCTTTAAGCGTAATAGAATCTGAAAGCTTTCAGATTTTTAGCGCAAAAGGGCTAATAATAGTCCTTCTGTTAGCTCAAAAGGGCTATTAATTTCGTTTTGGCATTTTGTATTAATTCAATATAAATGTTAGTTCACTTTGCGAAGTGTTTCCACCAAATATTATCACCTCGTGTTATATTAAGAAAAATTCAATAATGAAGAATCTGTATAAATGTGATAAAACAACACTACCTAGAGCCATCAAATTTTGAATAATGTAATCTTCCGCCGAATATGAGCATGTGGAAGCCCTAATTAATTTGAAATTTGTTTTATTATCGATTTAATATATTTTTAACCCTTTACCGAATTTTTTATTAACAAACTCAACGATTTAAAAGCGAGCAATGGCAACACTGAACGGAAAAAAAAAAAAAAGAAAAAAAGAAAAAGAAATTTATCTCTAGCGCTCCAGACTATGTATCAGAAATTCTTTAGGTATGCTCATTTAAAAATTATTTTGCGATATTGCTGTTGAATTGAATTAAATAAAGGTAACGTAGAAAACGTTAAAAAAAGTCACTTTGGGCGTAATATAAAATCTGAAAGCTTTCAGATTTTATTTTATTTTAGTTTTTATTTATTTATTTATTTATTTTTTAATGTAGAAACAGTAATTTATGCAAATGAAGAATGAATGTGTCATTAATTTTTTTAAAGAAACTGTATAATACAATTTAGTTACAAATAAATCGTTTGGAGAGATGTCCTCTTTGACATTTGTATTATTAAATAACTGTGAATCTATATGCTCCTCGCATTGCGGAAAATGGCTCTGCCTAGACCTATCAAATTTTGAAGACTCGTGCCCGAACATGTGCACCTTCAAGTCCAAATTTTGAATTTTTGAATTTGTTTCTTATATATTTTATAGTTTGGAAGAATTTAAGGATCTTTCGGTTGAAACCTTACCAGTTTAAACTCTTTGTGCTGGCTCTGTGCAAAGCATAAGATAGTTATATTTTAAATTTAATCAGAAAACTCAGCAATATAAAAAGTGTGCTGTCACTTTTAAAAATTCAAGCGCTTTTGAATTTAACTGCATTGTGGAGAAAGAGTGGCTCATAGAGCCAAAAAAATGTTGAACAAACATAGTATTTCGCTCGAGCATGTGCACCTCCAAGTTATCTGCTTTCAATAGCCACCAACTTGCAGATATAATGTTACTGACATGTTTATCAGTGTGAAGCACTGGGCACCCAATGGAATGATGTGTTATCGTAAATCGAAATATATAATATCCGTACAATACACCGAATGTAGTGTATGCAACGAAATATGTAATTCATGCAACAGAAGCCCCTAATGAAAGTATGTACATTATGTATTATGGGGAACTGAGCATATTTCCGCACAGCACTTACTGCTTTACGCACACACCTTACTATTGTCTTATATGTTTCCTCTGAGTGTAATATTTGCATTTATGTGCTCTACGTGTTTCCATATGTATTCTATGTGTCATGATATTGTATTTTCGTGTGTGTTTTCTATGTCTTTATGTTACGTAATTACGAGTGTGTTTTTATGCTTTTACGTTTAATTTTGTATATCTATGTGTTTCAGCTTATATGGGTGTTTTAGTGTTTTAATGCTATCCTTTATATTCTTTCTAAGTTACTTTGTGTTATTAACAACGTCCTATGTAAAAACTACCCGACATCTAGCCCCTGTATGGCCATGTAAACTCCTGGTGCAGCCTCACGGGGCTCCAGCGAGTTGCTTCTTCGAGATAGTGGAGGACGTGGGACATATGCCTGTTTACCTATGTTATACGTCAGGCGTCCCCGTCCTCCGTCACCTGTCACCTGCACCTCCAAGTTTGAATTTCGAAATTATTTTTTATTTATTTCATATTTTATGCAAATTTAAGGAGCTTTCGTTTAAAACTTAGGGATGCAAAAGCTTTATGCTGTCACTCGGCAAGACGTAAGATATTTATGTTTGAAATTTAAATAACTGTCATAATAAATATAAAAGGAGTGTGTTGCCATTCGTCAAAACGCAAAATATGTGTGTGTCTTTCGAACTTAGTCAACAAACTCAGCCAGCTGAAAGAAACGTGTTGCCACTACCCGACTTAAAATATTTTCATCTCTCACGGGCAAATACGTTGTCTTTTATGAAAACGTAAGATAGTATTTAATTTTTCTCTCAAATTTAATCTATTATTAATAAAAAAACTAAGCGATTTAAAAGCCATGTATTTAAAGCATAAAAAACACATATTCATTTCAGTTACCAATAATTACTGGCTGGAGCCGTTAAGTCGCATTAGCTGGATTCCTTAAAAAAAAATATATATATATATATACTATATAGCTATTTTAGGTAGCTGGCCGCACAAGCGCGTAGTATAAATAAAAGGCGGTCAAGAATACAAAAAACAGACATGTTTATTATATGTTCAATTACGTTGCCTAATTTAAATGTTCGGAAGTCAGATAGAGGCTAAATTGAATTTCAGTAAAATATCTATTCTAAAATAAATTCATAATAAAAAAAGATCTAAGTGAAATTTTGAAAAATCTCTTTACCCACATTGCATTATTATTGAAAAATAATGTGTGTGTACAAAATTAGAATTCGTTAGCTTATCAGGAAGCAGGTTAAAAATAGCTGACAAAATCCCGCTCACAGTGCAATTCGATGAGTGAACTAAATGAAAGATTACATTAAGTATACCATGCTTACAATAAAAAAAAAAAAAAAAAAAAAAAAAAAAAAAGAGGTTTTAGTTGAAAAAAATTTCATTACCTATATTCTCACTATCATGTTTTCATTAGCTTAAACGGGTTATTAATCTCGAAATGATATTTTGCATCAAATCACTATAAATGCGTCATTTCACTTTTCTTTTGACTGTGTTCTCACTTGGCGAAATATAAGATATTTTATCTTTCAAGTTGAAACTGTCTCCTATGGATTAACAAACGAAGTTAGTTAAAAGCAACAAATCCAGTTCTTAAGAATACTGTTGGTACAAATTTTGTACATACGTAAATAATTTTAGTGAAATGAAAGGTGTAGCTAGGGTTTTCAGCGCCCAGGGACATGTGCGCCTTTCTGTGTGCCAAGAATGGAAAACATTTCATTCTAAAATTTCGTAACATCAATTTGGCGCCCCCTGGATGCTGCGCCCGAGGACAGATGTCTTCCCTTGCCCCACCCTAACTACGCAATTGAGTGAAGCTGTACGTAAATTGTAATATCTCTTGTATGATGTAACATAAAAAGGCCTCAGGGTGTGAAGCATCGCCTGAAAAATAAGGTTTACAGGGGTCAGTCAGTTTAACATTGAGATAAATAACTCTCTCTCCAAAGTGACAAAACATCGCAAAAATAGCAGTGATTTTGGCGGCTAATTTTTGTCTCCAAATTTGGCGGGAGATTTTCACATCCAAAAGTCACCAAAGTTGGGGAACATTTGATGACATTTGGATCCGATCTCTGTATAACTGTATTTGGCGTGGTTCTTATATGTAACTGTAACTATAGACAGCTCTATGTAATTGTAACCGTATATGATTCAAGTAATTTTGAGAAATGGAAGGCAATGGAAATTTCTCGTCGACAGGGGAAAAACTATTTAAGACTAGAAATAATATCAGTTCTCAGTTTTCAATTCAGAGTTGATTTTAGAGTATTGAGAGATCTCCGTACGAGATTCTCTCTTTAGATGCGCTTTGAGTTGAGTTGTGTTTAATGCGCTCTTAGTAGTTTGAAGTGATGACTACTGACTGTGAGGGGGCATACAGAGAAGAGCTGTACGAGAGTTTTTGTGTGAAATTTCCAGAACTGTAAAGTTTATATATATATAAATATATATATACTAGAAAAATAAATTTTATCAAGCTATCATCGGCTGTGTGTGCATAAAATCCACTGCGAATGCGTACAGTTGATCTTGATTAAGTTAAATAAAAATGCATTAAATTCACGACATAGCTAATTAAAAACATTAAATATTTTTACAGAACTACATTACATATTTTTTTCGCTTTTCAAACATATAGAAGATGTAGATCGCTCCCATTTTTAGTTTAAATGTATACTCATCTAGCATTCTATAAAACGTTTCACTATTCCATCTGGGCGATCCCTGTCGATCGTCTCTACTGATAAAACATATTATACTTTAAAAGAGCCCTTTTGGGCTATCGTTAAAATATGAACCCTTCCAGATTTTTTTTAAAAAATATGTTTGATGTGTTTTATTTCAATATTACCTTTAAAATTCGGGTCCTTAATTGATAAATAAAATCCTGATATGTTCTCCTTAAAAGAGTAATCCCTGACTAATTAATCGTACATACATAAAGCATTTCAATCTGAGTTTCTGCAGCATAGATGATCTCATGAACTGAAACACCGGAAAAGATTGCCACGTGATTGATATAAAAATACGTTAATAATTTCTCTAAAAGCTTTATTAAACTTAAAATATTTTTACATTTAAAAATAATTTGTACAATTCAGGCAAAAATTACACAATTGTAAAAAATATTTTATTTTTTCGTTTTATTGATTGATATACAGTCAAGCCTAGGAATCTTCAGTCTTGGAATTGTGTCTGAAGTAGTACATTAGTATGCGTCTTTAAAATTGCATCTGATTTTTTTTAAAATATCATTATGAGGAATGTCAAAAAGTCGTAAAGAAATAACTCACATAATTAAGTTTTTAAACGCTAACTGAATCAATTCTTTCTCACCAGATTCACAGTCTATCACACTTCACAATCATTATCGGGTGATAGAATTAACAATCTTCCATCGGGTAACGAAAATAAATCATTAAAGTTTTTTTAACTTTCATTATTTGAAATTCCAAGATTTTCTAGATTTCGATGAATTATTTTGATAAACTTTAGAGATATTTCAATTAAAATTGTGAAAAATAGAACAAGCTATGAAAGCTCAGTAGTAAACACTTCTGATTGTAAGCTACACTTGGAAGCGTCTGTTTGTGTAGAATATAACCCTCATGTTAGACTACTGACTAAATTGCATGTAGAAAGGAATGGTAACAGAATTCAGGTTGTATTATTGCATCGGACTTCATTAAAACCTGTCATATTATAGGTTTCGGAAATTAATTAGTCTTATCAGAAAGAAAAATAATAACAAAATAAAAACTTAAGTTAAAATGATATAATAAGCGAAACTATTCCCTAGAGCAGAGAAAAAAAGAGTGAACGAAATAATTTTTATGAGTAATTAGGATAATCTATGATAGTGAAAACATGGCGGAATTAAAGAAGTAATGCGATATTCATGCGAGGGCTTAAAGAGGTTTGACTGCGTTTTACAAATTGTATTCATATCTATAAAAAAGCTTAATCTTTGTTTACCTACATATAGCAAAGGTATTAGTAAACTAGTCCATCTTCGTTTAATTTTTTAGGTGTACGTATTTTTGATTCGGCACACTGTGGAAATGAAAGTGGCTGTACCGTCGCCTAAATCATCTTCAACGAAGATATGAAATAGTGGACGGATAGCGGCGAACACTACAGTAATCCATGATGTCCACATTGCTGCTTTTTCATTGGCAACGAGCGATTGACAGAGGTCCATATCTTGGCTAAGGGCAACGTTCGCCGTATAGCACATAAATGGCATCGTTCCAGCTATATATAACAAGAAGAGAAGAACTACATTTTGAGATGATAATGGTTTCGGTTCCACATGCACTATCATATTCTGTTCACCGCATTCGTAATTAAATTTGTTATGCAGAGGCTGAGGGCATATGGAACTCCTCCTCTTTGAAGACCAAAGACACAAATCTGTCAGTAAAATAATCACCATCGGGTAATGTAAAAAGTAAATGATGCATATCAGCACGGAGAAGGAAGGAGACCATGCAAATGGGACCGAGCAGATATCGTGCCAGTTATTCCATCCTGTTAATGGAATGAGTGATATTATGACGGCCTCGCACCAAGCCAATACCACCAATAATCCAATCACCAGGTGGTTAGTATGGAAACGCTTGCTCGTCCTTGGTCGCACCACCAGGTGGTGTTGTAAAACCAACAGCGTAATGAGTGGTGTGAAGGTGAACAGGGTCAGTAAGTGGAGCCCGGATGGTAGCAAAAAACACAGAAGATAATTGTCTATAATGCGTTCCTGGTGCCAGAACACGAAGACTTTATAAATGTACCAAATGACAGTGACGGAAGAGAGCTGGCCACAGACGCAAAGGTTTATGATAATGATGTTTTTATTTTGCTTCAGTAGCCGCTGATGGATGATAACAATAAACTGGGTAAAATTCAAGAAGAAAGAGAGGGTAGCAGTGGATACAGCCAGGACGACATACACCTTGTCAACATCGTAAGAAGCAGCTGAAGATAGCGTGCAGTTATTCGGGAATGGAAGCATAATGGGCTGCTTTCCTGGAAATAAAAATTAATTCAGTAAATTTTGATTTACTTATATACGATATGGTTTACAATTATAGCGAGCTATAGAAATAGAGAGAGAATATAAAAATAGTTAAATTGTATTGTTATACTTATTACGCAATATTAAATACATTTAATATTTTTTAAATAAATTTATCAAAAATATCCATATTTCTTTATTTAAACTTAAACCTGTAAGTTCCTTCATATTCCACTTTAACGGATTTCGCTTTCTTCTTATTTCGATGAAATTTCTCGACTTTGCCCGGGAAAACACAGAATTAAAATCTAAACAAAAGGCTGTTTGTACCATTAGTATATGAAGAGTTTAGACACAGAAATCTGTCTTGCGATAAAACTGCATCTCTTACGCAATAATAAGAATACCATGTTTAAAATAAAAGCGAAACTACTACAATGAAATTTAACTGTAGCAGTAATGCATAAATTTTATTTATGTTTTGTTCTAATCATGTTGAAAATAATATCACAGTAAGACATAGGATCCTTTTTAAAATATACTATTACCGTATTTACTCGAATATTTTTCACCCTCGCGTAATTTTTCTCTTAGTATTTATTGCATCTTTACCACAAGGTTCTGAAAATTTTTTTAAATATTCAAGTAATTTTCACCTTCTTCAAAGCGTTCAGAAAGCGAGCTTCCCTAAATTTTAAAATCATTTCGTCCACGTAATGGTTGTTTTCACCTTACTAACTGATTTGCTCATGGATATTGGGTGCATGGGCCTTGACTCATTAAGCGATACTACTAAAGAGCTTCAAGAAAATGGGAATGGCTAATATTCTTGTTGATTTTTAAGATCGCTGCACAGAAGAAGACATTGAACGGTGACGATTTGCAAGCTACAGCAGACGATATAAACAGCAGTCTCAGAAGCATTAAATGATTAAGATCTAGGGAGTAGCAGTGGACGACAATGCTAGCGAGCGACAATCAGGATACAGGAGAGCAGAAATGAAGATATTTTATTGGATAGTGTAAATTAAATAACTACAAATAAGATATAGATTAAGATTATAGACAAATTTAATTAAATAATAACATTAATGTTTAAATAATTAATTAAATAATTACAGATAAGATATAGATTATAATTATAGATTAAGATATTTTTATTAAATAGTACTCTATCTAATAAAATATCTTAATTTTATTGAATAGTGTAATTTTAATATTAGTATGTATTCTCACTGGAATGTAAATTTCTTTTAAAGAAAGAATATTTATGAGGGTTACCTGTAGTTTACGATGACTACTTTATAAAAATAAATTCTTCGGAAATTTAATTACTCCCATAGTTTTCCCCTATCGAATTTCAGACGGCAAAATTCCAAAAAAAGGAAGGGAAACACGAGATTAAAGGCAGCATGCACAGCATATTTTAAACAACGATAGTAAAATATGTGCATATATATCAATAGGAATACGTTACTCCGCGTGGGTTAGCAATTGTTTATTTTCGATTTTAGATTTAATATATAATGTGTTCTGAATGAGATATAATATATGAAAAAGTCATCGCTCTTAATGAATCGAATGGAAAAAAATATACATACAATCTTTTTTTTTTTTTTTTTTTAAAATTTAACTTTTAGGAAATTGCTCTGCAGATTCAAAAATCATTATTTTAGTTATCACCGCATTCTTCGTTACGTATATCTGGAAATAAAACCACTTGGATGCGAACAATACCACGTTTTTAAATTTTAATTCTCAAAGAAAAATTTGAAATGGTTTGAATGGGATCATTTTATCGTGACTCATTCACTCATTATCATTCGTGACATCATTCGTGACTCATTAGGGCTTTCTGAAGCAGAAGATGTGAAAAATGTGCAATGATCTCGCTTGGACTCGTACCTCGGACCTCTCGAATACGCGCCGAGCGTGCTGACCATTACACCATGAACGCATGCTAAGAAGGCGAGAGAAATACCTTATATATGCCTCCTTTTAAAGGGCGACTGGGAATTAGAGGACCCAGTCGCCAAATCCTGGTGGTGGAGAATCATCATCCACCGCCTTTTTTAGTTCTGGCGTCACTGTACAGACATTAGGGTCTTTTGAAGCAGGAGAGATGAAAAATGAGCAATGCCCTTGCTGGGACTCGAATCTCAGACCTTTCGAATACGCGCCGAGTAAAATGTTTTTAATGTAATACAAATTGCAATTAATTATTTAATTTATGTGCGTCCGAGGATTTTTAGGTTTATTACGTGAGACTCTGATAGCTAAAAGAATTTTTTTTTTCATTTTGGCGAGTTTAACAGTATAACTTGAGAAGTCTTTTTTTTTTTCTTAAAAACTTTTTCTTAAATTAAAAAAAGAAAATAATAATAAAGAAAGCAAATCATTACCTTTGAAAATAAAAGAATTATTCATTTTACTTCCTTTTGAAATACAGAAAGTATTGTAATCGCGAAACATTTCGTGTATCATATTTCAATGAAAAGATTAATTTTAACCGCTCTCGAATCAATTTGAATGATTTTTTTCCTTGATGTCTATACGTCCGGGTAGAATAAAGGACTCTTTTTCCAAAATGGATTGTAAAATGGATTTAAAACGGATTCAGAAGAGAATTTTCGTGACGTCTATCCGTCCGTAAGTACGTACGTATGCAAGTTTGTCGCATAACTCGAAAATGAACAGCCATAAAACGTTGAAATTTTGTATATGGGACATGTAACTGTGCATCTTCCTTTTTTGTCGTAATCGGCCGGACCAAAAGTGTATATATACATAGATTTAAAGAATCTAAAATTGAAAGTAAATTTGAGTGAAAGCAAGGCTATTCGTCAACAATATTAATAATAGCAATCGTGTATAAGAAATTTAACAAAATAACCAAACATATTAAAATTAAAATAAGAATTCATAGTAGTACAAACTCTAAAAATAAAAATGAAAATGCAAAAGGGGAAAAAATACAAGATAATAAAAATATATAAAAATAAAAATTAATCTCCTTTTACTGAAACTGCAATTCAGAACTCTATATATACTTAGCATTATTACAACATTTTTTATAACAAAAATATCCCAATCTTATTTCCGCGCAATATGTTGCTGAAAAATTAATCAGTTATATACAAAATAGCAGGAAATTTAGAACCAAATACACAAAGATATGAAATCCAAAACCAGTAAAATCACAAAATATCCCAATAAAAATGCAAAAAAACCCCATCAACTAAGTGTTTCCAAACCAGGAGAATATCCTAAAATACATAAATGTATGAAAATTCATAAAATAGGAAGAGGAATACAATTAAAATATGATTCAAGAGGAAGTAGATCAGATTCAATTGAATCTCTTTTCTCAGGAAAACCACTACGTGTTCTTTCATCCAAAATTAGCTGACGAACCATCTTACATTATTTAACTATAACCAGTTTAATCGAAAATTCTGAATGTGTCCTCGACACAGCAGCCCTCCCTTCATATGAAATAAAGATATACGAAAACAAATTTAAATAAAATATATTCAATGCTTATTAAAGCAAAAGTAAAATATACACTATTAAGTAATATTAAAATTTAAATTAAAATGTAATAATTTACATAGTAATGAATTAAAAATTAACAGGGAACAACATGTTTTCTGAACTTACTATTGAAGTACAAAAGTACAAAGGACAATAATTCGAAAGGTTGGTTTGGTTTATTGAATTACTGCAAAACACACTAGGGCTATCTGCCTAAGGGAAGGGATGCCTTCGTGGAGGTCTTTTTAGGGGAAACTGGCTCGTATACACGTTACGCATGGGGAAAACCACGAAAACGCCCATGCAGCCAGCCCGTTCGCGGGATTCGAACCTCCAATAATTCGAAAGGAAAAAAAGTAGATGCTAATATTTGCCTGTTTGGCGCTGTTGGCGTACAAATGATGGCTTTTTTGCATTTTATCGGGAGATTTTGGGATTTTACTGGTTCTCGATTTCAAGCCTATGTGGATTCGAATGGGTATATATATATATAGGTCTTTTTTTAGTTTGTTCTCCTTTCTTCCTTTATATATATTGATACTTCTACGTACTAAATTTTTATTAGGAGATAATATAATCAATATTTCTTTAGTAAATAAAAAGAAGAGGTTTTATCTATTTTTGCCTGGCGCGAAGTAAGAACTGAAATGATTGAATGAGAAATATATCTCTTATGAAATTCGAGAAAATAAGTTTAAATGAAAAGCAGCCAAAAATTTGTATAGTTTAATATTCCGTACAAGGAAGTCATGTGGTGCCAACATTAGATATTTCAATTAGCATAGCAGTGAAGTTGAGTGAGTTTAAATCACGCAAACTCCATGCAATTTCAGGAACGAACTTAGAACGAAGTCCTAACATTTTACCGTTATTCTTTTAAACCGGTAAATCCAGAATTGAGTTTACTATGATATACATAGGTTAGAGTTTCATTAAAAAATCAAATACCAAGTCTGTTAACTTTAGAATTTAATAAAGGCATCAAACATTATGTCTTTTACTTTTAGCAGTCCTACCAGTGGCCGAATGGGTAAGACCGCTGAATACTGATAGTTCGATTTTAGTTGGAGCCCAAGAAAACGAGCTGACCACATGATTAGCTTTCATGGATTTCGCCCTGTTTAACGTGAGTATGAGCTAGTTTTCCTTAGAAAGTTCTCCACAAAGGCAACCCTCTTCTGACATATATTTCACTAGTCTACCAGAGAAATGTAACTTATGATCATGATGTACATTAAATACAAGAGAGTTAATAATGTTTTGTAATTTTACTCACCAGACTCCTTTTTTTCTTTGTACAGGTTTACTTTAATAGCTGGTGAACACCCTTTTTGTTATTCCTGTCGCTGCTCTTTGGGAGAAGTTGAATGGTGGTTTGACAAGTCATGTCAAGGCACTTAACTATCAAAATAAAAGTCAGTTTTCAGCAACGGTTAAAGAAGAGTCTCCAGAAAAAGTAAACTAAACTGAAAAAATGGCGATGTTTGGGAAAACAGTATGTGTATATTACACATAATATTTTATTAACTTGAGTTAAAAACAATTTTTTATGCTTGTTGCTATAGAACATCAGCTCTTTACCAGACCATCTCCAAAGACAACTAAAACTGCTTGGAACCGTGGATGTTCATTAGAAATAGTATTACTATTCCTGTGTTTATTATACAATTTATTTGAATGATACATCATTAATTTAGAATACAGTTTGCAAAATAATATGTCGAATGCACAAACATGCTATTTGTAATGAAGTACTTGTCTTAGAACATGTCAAATACTTATACCGTGTATTTTCATTGAATTTTTGATTTGATGCTGTACTTATTTTGCTGTTTTATTTTATGTGTGAAAGTGATATGATAACAAAACTCATCAACGGTTTAAATTTCTTTTCCCAATCAGAATACTAAATCTAACATTCACCTAAAAAACTCCGATCCAGTTAACAGGAATTATATCCCTGCGGTCTTTAGCAGATACAAAATTCACTTTCCAAATACACAGGCCTGTTAGTTGGCTAATTCCCTGATAAGGAGGTTTTTACTCAGGTTTCAGGCCAATACGCATGAAAGGTTTTTTGAATAAACTTTAAGAACTCACTCGGTTTTAAAAATCAACCTATTCTGGATTTATGAATGAGGTTCACAGAAGAAATAGTAGATATAGAAAATAAATATGGAAATAACGTGCTGGCTAAAAAAAAAAAAACTTTTTACAATCAACAATGTTTATATCTAACTCGGTTTTTTGACGCTATAGTAAATTTCAATGATTACCAAACTGGCTTACTGGTCTTACTTGACATTATTTACTTCATTTTAGCAATCTAAAGGATTTTCCTCAGCATGACAATTTCCAGTGATCACTGTACCAACTAATCAACAGTGTCAAATAAGAACTCGTAGATGTTCTTATTTGACACTGTTGATTTCCTTTTCGTAAACCTGAAAAGCTCTGTTTGATGTTATTTACTTTATCATAATAGCCTAAAGGTCTTTCAGCACGGCAGTAGTTTCCACCGACCATCATACTGACTGAGTAGTGCTATTTCACGTTATTTACTTCATCTTAGAAAACGTACAGAACTTTCAGCATGACAAATTCCGTTGGCCACCATACTGAGTGAGTGGTTCTATTTGATATTGTTTACTTCGTCCTAGTAAATGTAAAGGACTTTCAGCATGATATTAACATCCGACGACTAACATACTGAAAGAGAGGTCCTATTTGACACTGTTTACGTCATCCTATGAAGCCTATACTTTCAGCATCTTAAGATGCTAATGGGATGAAAAAAAAAATCTGAAAGCTTTCAGATTTTATATTACGCCCAAAGGGGCGTTTTATTGAACGTTTTGTGTGGTTACCTTGTAGAGTCATAAGATTAATTGGAAGCAGAAAAGATGAAAAATATGCAACCGTCTTCGCTGGGAATCGAACCACGGACCTCTGGAATACCGGCCCAGCGTGCTACCGTTACACCACGAAGCACTCTAGTACTAAATGAAAAGATTAGCGCAAAATGCTGTTAAATCATAATTTAAGAGTTAAAAGATCCCAACTATCAGTTGTAGAGACATCAGGATTTTTTTTGGAAGCCAGAGATATGAAAAATTAGCAACCGTCTTCACCAAGAATCGCACCACGGACCTCTGGAATACCGGCCCGGCGTGCTACCGTTACACCACGAAGACACGCTAGGAAAGTGGGAGAAATACCTTATAACCTTTATTTATTAAATCTCATGTTCTTCACGCTTAAACCCTAAAATTCAATTCAACAGCAATATCACAAAAACATTTAAAAGAGCATATCTTTGAATTTCCGATACACAGTCTCGCGTGCTGGAGATGAAATTTTTTTCCCCCCACTTACGGTGTTGCCATTGCTCGCTTTGAAATCGTTGAGTTTGTTAATGAAAAATTCTTTAATGTTTGACGAAATATAAAATAGATAACGAAAAAGATTCCAAATTAGGGCTTCCAGATACTCATATTCGAATGGAGGACTACATTATTTAAATTTTGATGTCTCTAGGTACCGCTGTTTTCTCACACCGCGAGAAACATACATACGTTCATACAGGTTCTTCATTATTTAATTTCTTTAAATATAAAACAGGGTGTATTTGGTGCCAACAATTGGAAAACTGAACCGACATTTATAGTGAATCAACGCAAAATGCCAAAACGAAATTAATAGCCCTTCTGGGAAAATTGGCCCTCTGGGCTTAAAAAGGGGGGGGAACAGTTCTATAGCTCCTGTTCTAGTGGACCAATTTACGAAATTCAACTTACGTTTTCCATGTCTCGAAAGCGCGACTTAGGATATGTATTAGATTTATATATAGCATTGTTCTAATATAAGTATTTTGACACAAAATCGGGCTTTTTCTGAAATGACATGACAACTGTTTTTCATATTTTGATTCTACGACTCAAATTATGCCAAACTGCCAAAGTTTTGTAAATATGGCACAAATAAGTTTTAACAAATTAGCTCTCAGAATTTTAGCTCCTCATTGTTAATTGAATTTGATATATATTTATTAATATTTCTTTTTTTATTAAACTTGCTTGATACCTTCTTCCAGAATTAAATTAAAATTTAAATTTAATTATTGGTAAATTAAAATTTAAACTTACCAGAAATTTAGGCTTAATCCAATACAATTCGCACATTTTATATGATTTATTTTAAAATTTGAATTTTTAAATATTTAAAAAAATTTCGAAAACTTTTTGTGTTATAATCTATAAAATTTTTAACATCATCTTAAAGTATATGCATTTCTAGGCACACCTGCAAAAAAAATTAGAAATTTTTCCTCAAAATTTCCTAATATATACGTGAATTTACATATTGGCGTATTTTGAAATTGGCATATTCGTTACAAGCGATAATAACGCCAAATGTGGTTTACGCACTTTGTTAAAATTATTTGAAAGTAATGAAAGTGACCTTTTTTTCTGCTCGTGTACAACGAAAAAAAGGAAAGAAAAATAGGTTGCTATAAACTAAGAAGTTCGCCAAGTGAATTATTCTTGGCGCAAACTGAAAATAATGCGCCAAAATAAATTTTTAAACTTCTCCGTAAATTTCGCACCAAGTTTTACAAAATTAAGTATTTAGGCATAATTTGAGTCGTAGAAACGATATATGGAAAAAAAAATTGGCATGTCATCTTAGAAAAAGTCCGATTTTGGGTGAAAATACCTATATTGGAACAATGCTATGTATAAATCTAATATATATCGTAAGTAGCGCTTTCGAGACATGAAAAACGCAATTTGAATTTCGTCAATCGGCCTAGTAAAAAGGGAGAAATCGAACTGCCCCATTTCTTTTTTTCTTTTTGGTGCAGTGTACATAGCTCATCCTTTTTTCGGTTTAACATTCTTGACCTCTCAGTCTACCTTCCCTGAAAGAACCACGCTATGAAATCTTAGTTTGCCATTTTTAAAATCGAATCTTCCTTTTCTTTGAAGGACATTTTCCAGATTCCTAAGCAAGCATGTAGTTGGCTGAAGACGAAATGAGGTTTGATTTTCCTGCATTTAGAATAGATAAAAGTCTTTTTTTTTTTTAAATTTATTTTTGAATTGTATATTTTACCAGAATTTATTTTATTAATTAATATTTGCACTTCAAATACCGTTCCAAATTTACTACCTTTAATTTCTTTCTATTATCTTACTACTTACGATATAGCAAACATAAAATTCGTTTCTAGCAGAACAATAGAGGACTCTTCCTCTTTTGAATATCATCGGTAATTACCCAAGTTTTAGCCTATGCTTTAGGCCACTTTAGCGGGATGTTTTTAAGCAAATTGTATTGTCCATTTTGACCATTACGATGTGTCTATATCAGATTTTTTATTGAAAGATTTAAAAAGAGGATCTTCTCAAAATGCAGCGTTCGAAATTTTTTGAGATTGTGTTCCGCGTAATTTTAAACTAAATAATAAAAAGTAATTTCTCAGATTTACTTCACTCCCAATTAGATATTTTCTTTTCTTTTCTTTTTTTTTCTATTCGTTGGTTTTGTCTATGCAGTTTTGTCACAGATAAAGCGAATAATAACTCGCAAAGAAGTTGAAAGGGGAGGGGAAGAGGTAAATGTTAAGAAAAGATATAGCTGTTTTAAAAGAGAAAACACATAACTATCAAAAATAACTACCTATTTATAAATAATTTTTAACATGTTTGTTAAAAATTAAAGAAAATATCTAAAAATTAATTACACTAGAAATAAGAAATATACAGAATCATAATAATATACAGAATCAAGTATATATACAGAATCAAGTTCCTTAATTTTTCACAAAAATAAACCTTTAAAATAGTTTGCGACTTAGTGGTCTGCAACCTACAAATTCAAATATTCGTTGCATAGAATATAAAAGAGAAAATTCGTTGCATAGAATATAAAAAAATTCTTTTTTTTTCTTTAAATTAGAAATGTCCTTTGAAATTTCTGAACAGTTATGTTGCATTACTTTATGGTACAATGTCAATCGTTATCCATATGATATGGAAAGTGCTGCCACTACACGGGACTTAATAGGTGATAATATGAACTTCAATTTTTATTAATAAAAATTATAATTTGCCATACCATATTAGGCAAAGAGTCGGTTTTCATAGCGTAACCCCATATCATTCATTTAACTTTCAAATTACACCTGCTTAGCAGCTTGGGTGATTTTTAAAATAAACAAAAGAATTTTTTAATAATTTGAAGTTTTACTTAATTTTTAATAAAATTAACCCCTTACGCAATCATCGGCCTAAAATAGTTATTATAAAAAATAAAAATATGTAATGGTTATAATTAATTCAGCTAGCGCTATATCACTAGCGAATAATTAGAGTGATGAAGGATTGCATTTATTGCTTTTAAATTGCTTAGTTTGTTAATAAATAACAGATAGATTAAATCTGAAAGACAATTAGATAACTTATATTTTGCCGAATTCCAATAGACTATCGCATGGAAGAGAAAATATTTTATTTTGGTCAGTGACATTAAATTGTTGAGTTTGTTAATTAAATTCAAAAATTTTCTGATCAAATTTAAACTATTAATATTTTGTGGTTTTCAGAGTGGCAATACATTGTTCTTAAATCGCGGTTACCCAAAAATTTATGAAATTCGCACAGAATATGAAGTAAATAAAATACCATTTCAAAATTCAAAATTTTGTCTTTGAGATGCACATCCCTACGTCTGTTCAAAATTTGGTGCACTTTGATTCTGCCGTTTTTTCTCAATGCGAGGAACATTAGATGCGTACATACATGCAGATTCTTCATTTTTTAATAATATATATATGTGTGGACATTCGCTCCTACAACACCGCCTCCTTCCTAAATCTGGCAACAGCTACAGCAGCAAGATACTTCTTCAAGCTGCGTGAGGAAATGAAAGGAGACTTGCATTCCGATGAGGTTAAGACGTGGCGTTGGATGTAACTGAACTATGCTGCTCGACCATGTTGATTGATGATATAATTTCGTTTCATGATGAATAGAACTTTTTTATCTTACTCCCTTTCACTCTGTACATACCATAGTCATGTTTATTCTTTCATCATTAAGTACCTTTAAAATGCCACTGCCTTCCTCTATTTCAATCCTAACCTCATCCCACATGGGGGCTCGGCCCCGCGAACTCTTTCGACCTCTTGAACTAAAATCTGTTCTTCCCTTCAACTTTTTAAATCCCCTAGACTACCATATAACATACCGAGTATAACTATAAATGATGGACTACTGTGGAAACCTCTGGAATAATATCGCAAGATCCCAGTTGTTGTGATTCGTCAGCACGTACGTAGAGCTAATTTTATTTGATAAAGTAATACTAATCAGGAAGTAATATTCTTTCAAGTTATTATGAATATTTGATGACACCTTTTTATAAAGTTTATTGAAGAAAGCGAAAGGCATTTGATTTTGATGAAAATTCATTGTTTTTGAATGATTATTACTTTGAAAGAATTAAGATTTCCGTTTTTGAATTTGAATGTTGATGGCAATTAAAAGAGGTTTTGATGAAGTTTAATTGAATAAACTAAAGGTGATTTGATGGAAATACGTTATTGACTATTTAAAGAATTGTGATGTATTAAAAAAAATTACTCTGAAGAATTAATACTTTCGTTTTCGAATTTGGTGCATAAATTTCTTATTTCTTGTGATGCCTATATTTTACAAAGACTGTAGAATATTATTTGAAGTTATTAATTTTGATATCATATCTTAAAGTGAAATTCTATTTTTCATTCTTAACTTATATGAAGATTTGTTCGAAGATATATTTTACCATTTGTTTGAATCATATGTTCACATTTCATTATGATTTGAGTGTTTAACATCATAGGTAATGTGTATATACTAAGAAGATTCATATTATTTGAAGAATATGAAATTAAGAGTATTTTGGTATGCTAATTTCTGATAATATTATACCAGATAAATATTTGACGAAATCGAAATTACATATTTTGTGAATTTCAATTTGGTAAAAAGAAACTGATAAATAATGGCTACACTTACGATTATCCCACATTGGCACGGTCATTAAAATGCAGTACAAAGCATATCAAGCTTTACATCGTTAGTTTGGCTCAGATGGTGATCGACAGAATCGTGCTAGGTTACGCAATTTTCTGTTTTCCCAAATCAGTTAACTTTGAAGAAAGAAAAAAAAATCTTAAGAATTCTCTCGCAAATTAATTGCCTACTTACGACTATTTAGATTTCCACCGATATGAAACTGTGCTACATATTTTTACGAATCTGCTGATGTAGCGTTATTAAATCAGATTCCACTGACTACAGACCTTGAAGAAGACTTTGGGCAAATTCACCCTCGACGCATAGCGCGCCCAACCCATTAATCACACTCCAGATGAATCTTATGTAAACAAATGGACAAAATCGTCTTGAAAGTGCGCCTGCAATTTATGGTATCGACTAACCGCAAACACGACTATTCCGTTTCAACGTTTTGGCTTAAAAGACATTGTTTTTGATCAAACCTTTTGCCTCTGGATATTACAGCGGAACTTTTATTTCTGACATAAAAGATATTTTTAATCTCTATGGGATCACGAACCTGTACACCAAAATTTTGTTAAAATGTTACCGGCCAGCTTACATTAATAGATCAATTCGTGAATACATTGGGAACAATTAAACACCATGTTAGATGAATTTTCGGATAAAATAATAACCTTCAATTACAAATATGGAATCTCGCATTAAAACATCGAAACCTTACAAGAATATTTTTAGCTATGAGACCTCGCACAAAGGCTATGGATGATCTTCTTGATTGTTAGTTATCATGGTATACCTGATTCATCAAACGATAAAATAATTTATACGGTGTAAATCCATTCTATTTAAAGAAAACTGAAGGTTTATGAAAAACTTTAACAATTTCAGACATTCGAAGCAAAATACTCCAATAAATACAAACGCCCTTTCCAATTTAAAATTGATAATACTTACATCAGATACTCAACCAATATATTCTGTGGATTTAAAGGCCACAAAGCAATATTGTCCTAAAATCTAATGGCAATCTGTTAGCTGCCAAATTGATGCACATTCATTCACTGTCCCAAACGTTCTGGTACTTTACACGGAAGCTGCTCCTAATTGTTACATATGATAGTACTGTAAATGCACGTTCTGTTCAAATTTTTCTAAAGTCCTATGCATGATATTCAACGAAAGAAACTCAGTTAACTGCTATCTATGACACTGATCAACAACACTTATGGAAAAATATCCGGCAAAATTGGTCGCCACCATTACATCCTTTCAGAAGTTTCTCAGAACTTGGCCGACACAGTTCAGTTGATCTTTCAGGACGACATTCAAATTGAAACACTATTTTACTGCTAAAATCCATGCAGCAAAAACTATATGTCCTCTTGATGCTTATTGATAGACGTTTTGCAAAAACCGTTAGATTGATAAAGATGGTCATTTATGCAACATAATAATGATCAAATTTTTGTTATGTTGCTAATGATCAACATTACACCTGTCTTCACACATCTCAAACCGAATCTCCAAGAGTGCATATCATTACTCCTCACACCACACGAAGTAACCTGCATGGAAGATTTTCAGAAAATAACAGAAAATGAAATCAGTGAAGAAAACAAGTAAGGAAAATGATGATGCAACAGATAATAAAATTGATTTAGATGAGGACATTTGGATTTGGAGATGTCGATGACAAAGATGATGCTAATACCAATCATAGAGCTCATGATGATGACGATCATGTTGATGAAGATGATGATGACGCAGACGACGACATGGATCAAGATCATGATATTGATGATGACGACTATCATAACGCTAATGGTGCTGATGATGATGATAGCACTCCTGAACTTAATGAAGATGGTGATAATGCTGTTAATCAAGATGACGTTGCTGTTGTTGATGAAGATCATGTCAATGAAGATGTTGATGACAACGAAGATGATGATGATGACAGTAATGAAGCTAATGATGATGATGATGTCGATAATGAACTAAACGTGCAGAATACTGAAGAAACTGTGAAAAATAAACTGAATCAGTTTGAACAAGCATGTGCTGATCAAGCAACGAGAAAACACCTGCTAAAACTGCAGAAACTCCCAAAGAACAAAAAGCCTGGAAGTATAACGAAGAAAATTTAAAGAACTTCAAAGACAATGAAATTGCTGACACAGTATGATGATGAAAAGCTGCATTATGCATGAAGCTCAACGGAACCTCCTCCGTTTAAAGCAAGCACATATACGACAGTATAAGAAACGTCGCAAACCTGCCTGCAAATACAAACTTGGACACCAAATGCCAATCCAGCCTGAACTGAAACTTCCACTTTGACTGAATCTTCGACTGGAACTGAAACATCCACTTGGACTGAATCTTCGACTTGAACTAAAACTTGTACTTAAAATTTCGTCCCAAATTTTTCGGTCCTTATGAGACAGTTCATCCCTCTGATTGTTACGAAGTACGAAAGATACGCCATGAAGGAACCATTATGATATCAACCTGTACCGATAAGATGAACTGGTGGTGCACAAAGCTAACATTCGCCACCTGGACATTGATTTTTTTTTCACTTTCTCTGCTTTTTGTTTTTTTCCTTTCTTTTCAGATCAACCCCCCCCGGCAAAGCAGAACGGCCGTGTGGACATTCGCTCCTAAAACACCGCCTCCTTCCTAAATCTGGCAACAGCTACAGCAGCAAGATACTTCTTCAAGCTGCGTGAGGAAATGAAAGGAGACTTCCATTCCGATGAGGTTAAGACGTGGCGTTGGATGTAACTGAACTATGCTGCTTGACGATGTTGATTGATGATATAATTTCGTTTCATGATGAATAGAACTTTTTTATCTTACTCCCTTTCACTCTGTACATACCATAGTCATGTTTATTCTTTCATCATTAAATACCTTTAAAATGCCACTGCCTTCCTCTATTTTAATCCTAACCTCATCCCACATATATATAGGTGATGTAGCAATATTTAATTTATAACATGCTCAATTGATAACATTTCTGCCATTAATGTCATTAATCAAAGATATTTCTAACGCTGTATATAATCCGTTTCATTTTGTAATGTTTTTAGCACCAGAGGTGCTATTAGACTCGAACATCATATTTTTCTCCTTATCACATTTCGAATAAAAGGATGATGCCACTGAATGTTATCTCCATGTGTTAATTTTTTAATATACAGCGAATATAAAAGATGTATGGCTTAATACTTATCCGGGAATTTTAAAGATTTTAATGATTCTAGTAACTAAAACTAATAACTGCTTTTAAATTTTAAAAATTTTGTGATTTTACTATTGAATTTTATGTGACGTAAACGTGAAGAAAGTGACTTTAATAAAAATTAAAAAAGACAAAAATTTTGTTAGCAAGAACTAGTTCAAGAGCAGATAAGTAAACTGCGAGCTCAGCGAGTGCTTAAAAAACCTTAACAAACCCATTTTTTGCGACATTAAGTTAAAATCTGAATCCTGTAATACTTCGTTTTCTTCCTTCCTATTTTTTAAAAATTCTTTATTAATTTTTTTTTTTTGGTTGTATAGAAGTTTGAGAGAATAAACATTTCAAGGAACTGTACTTGAAATTTTCTGAGTTCCTGTTGTTCGATCCATCCAAATTCAGACTAGGTGAAATAAATGATGGGAAAAATTATAGCTAGATAAAGACACTGCAAAGAAGAAAATTATTCGTTTTATTCCACTTTCTGACGTTGCGTTCAGATTGGTCATAATTTAAAATATAAACTGTTTAAACGCTGCAACTATCAAACAAAAACGTAAAAAAAATTTTTTTTTGTCGTAAAACAGTACATCCATGCGTTCATGTTTCTTTGAATTTATTTATAAATGAGAACTATTTGGAAAGATTTGTTTGTCCTAAGCTCGTAACATATCCCTAGAACAATTTTGAAAAATGCATTACATCCGCGCGTTTAACTTTGCGTTTAACCTTAGGTACGTCCTATTTTTGAGAACTAATATTCGATGCATGGCTTCACACAATGCTGTGTAAATAATGTACTACAACAGAGCACCGTTTAGAAGACAATTTATGGATTCAAGGTCGTGCTTAAGGTCACTTGACACCGAGTGTAAGCTTTAGATAACGGACCCAGGATCCCTTTTTTTCTTTCTTTTTCTTTTTAGCTTTGTTTGAGAAAAATATCAGTCGGAAGTTCTCGGTTGCTTACTTTATTTTCAAAAAAAGGACGTTCTGTAAAGAAAATATTTAAAGAATGTTTCATTCTTTTAAAAAGAAATCTGAAAGGTTGTTTGAAAAATATTTAACTAGTTTAAGCCAAATCTATTTTCTGGAATAAGTAGTTCATTTTCTTTTTATTAATTAGCCGCTTGCGTGGTCAGCAGTCTAAAATAATTACTACAAAAGAGAAAAAAATTAATGATTTTAATGAGACCAGCTAGTGTAACTTCCTGAGTTCAGTTACTACTTAATAATAATAGAGATGAAGAACTGCAGTTATTGCTTTTAAATCACTTAGATTGTTAATGAATAGCAGACCGATTAAATTTTAAAGAAAAATTAAATAACTTACGCTTTGCCAAATGGCAACAATACAATGTAAAAATTTAAAAACATTTCGATTCAAAAGAAAAGTGGGTACACATTTATTTTAAATCCCTGAGATTGTTGATTAAATTCGAAAGATAAATATCTTATTGCTCAGCCGAGTGACAACGTACTTCTTTTTTAATTCTCAGAGTTTTCTGATTAAATTGAAAAATTAATATCTTACGGTTAGCCGAGTGGCAACACTTTGCTTTTAAATCGCCAATAAAAATTTCATTAAACCCGCCCAAAGCAGGAAATAAATAAAAAAATTCGAAACTCAAAATTCGGTCTTCGAGGTGCATGTGTTCGAATGGAAGAATAAGAGGACTCATACACCTTAAAACCCATAAGATCTTCGAATAGGTGACTGTTGCAAGAATTGGGATAACTTATTTATTTTAAAAGCAATTACTTCCAACGTTTTACAGCTGACTACATAATATAGCTGCTTTCTGAAATAGTACTCAGAAAGTTTGGGTTGCCACAAATATTTTTATAATTTAATCCGCTTTGTGACAACATTTTTCCACCTTGCGCGCACAGTTTAAGACATTCTGTCAAATAATTTAATTCCATATTTAATATATAGCTTTTTATAACATTTGGAAACTACTGTGAACCTAAAATTCTAAAAATTTCACGTTAAATTTTTATTTTATTTTGAGTTGAGTTTATAAAATGTATTTTATTAAAAAAAAATTGTAATGTTTTCGTCCATAAAATTTTTAATATTAAAATATTCATCAGATTTTTGGTTCAGTTAGAAAATAGTGCCCATATAAGAAATTCCATCGAATTTTAAGCATGTACCATCAGCCATTTTTAAAATATCATGCGCGCAAGGTGGAAACATGGCGAAATATTTTGTCACAAAGAGGATTAAATTACAAAATTATTTTTGGCAACACAAACTTCCTTGTTACTAGTTTCCAAATCAGCTATATTATGTAGTCAGCTGCAAAACGTTGGAAGTAATGGCTTTTAAAATAAATAAAATATCCCAATTCTTGCAACAGTCATATATTCGAAGATCATAAGGGGTTTAAGGTGTATGAGCTCCCTTAAGCGTGTTCAAAATTGGATGGCTCTAGGCCCAGCCGTTTCTCACAATAGGAGGAACATCCATGCCAGACCACATTCGGCGACGGCAACGCAAAACCATATTGCAACTCTTGGTTGGGAGCGCCTACACCATCCGCCATACAGTCCTGATCTCGCACCAAGCGACTTCCATCTGTTTCCGGCTTTGAAGAAAAATCTCGGGGGAAGGCTCTTTGGAAGCAATACTGAAGTGAAACAAGCCGTTCAACGCTTCTTCCATATGCAAAGCCCTGATTTTTTCCTGGAGGGCTTTTTGAAGCTTATCAAGCGATATGACAAATGTCTCAATGTACTTGGTACCTATGTGGAAAAATAAAGGTATGTCATATCTTTAATGTCTCATTCTATTTTTTGACTTTTATACACAACTCTGATCACAGTCGACAGGGAAAACTTATTTTTCAACTTATCCTCGTAGATATATCAATTTCAATCAAAATTAAATATATTGTTCCCATTAATATAAAAGTCTCAGTATATTTTAATAAGTACTTGTCAATTATTAAACACATTAGATAATAAACTCAGCCACATTACGTTCAAATCTCCAGGAATTAAAATAAATATTTCCTAATAAATAGTAAAACCATCGTTTATTAAGGCCATTTTAGCTAACGACCGATTTTTCAGTGCCAGGACATCCTACTTATCAAAGTTTTTCTTTGTTCATCTATTTAAGATAACGTGGACTGTGGCTTTATCGTTCACTTATGTGGTGCTTTAAAAAAACCCGAATTTTCATACCCTTCCGATCCGTGAGACACTGCTTTCAGAGGTTTTATTAGCAATGGACTTCAGAGGGCTAGAATCTTAACGTTAACAAAAACAGTCCTTTAGAGTAGAAGAACTGTAAATAAGCGAGGATTCCTTCTTGAATACCAGGTAATAGAAGATATAAGTTAAACTTCTGTATCTCATCTTCTAAGGTTTCCACATTTAAAATTTGTTCTTTGGGATAGACACATTACGTTCCCTGAGAGCTATATAAAATTCACGAAATGTTTCTAAGGATTAATATACATTAAGACTCTCTGAATGTAAAGGAAGTGGTAAGTGTTGGCTGATGAACTGGCAGATCAACTGAATAGACAAGGGGCAATATTCCTGCTGGGTAGAAATATAAGTTTCTTAATTGTGTAAATCACTGAAAGAAGCATTCTTTTAATTTGTTGTATGCTTAGTTTATAACATGTCGAAAATATCTAAGTAAAAAGGTTTAGGCTTGAAAGAAAGCGATAAATCATTAAAACATCTTGATGTTCTTAGTAGGTTGCAGACTTCTTTGCCCTAAAAAAGCTGCATTGTAACATGGAATTTCCAAAAAAACACTGTGCAATAGTGTTCCAAACAGCACTTAATATAAGCCTGTTACTTAGAGATAATAAAAAATGCAAATGTCTTGAGAAAGCGTTAAAAAGACAGAAAATCAAGAGACGCTGAAATTGCTTTTCT